TAACCAATTTTTGTATTAAGAAAGAGAGAGAGAGAGAGAGAGAGAGAGAGAGACTGAAGAAACTAATACTAAATACATAATACAATATATACTTTCGATCTAAGACTAAGACATGTCTTGTCTTTCACTGTCTAATAGTTATTAAGGATTAATGAACTTATAGTTTGAGAAATTGTATTATTCTTTGAGAGAATCCAAAGAAGATTACACAAGAAAAATGTAATTTTATTAATTTTCAAGACATAATATCAATTCCTAATACTGACCAATGGTTGTGCCCATCATTTCACTGCCGGACCCAATGGCTGCCGAAGACTCCATCTCTTCCATCACAATACAGGGAACCTTTGAGCTCTCCGGAGGTATTATTAATGAATTCATAGCTAAACCAATAAGAAAAACAAATAGAAAAATACATTTAATTGTCATTTATTACAAGAATATTCTGTACAAAAATAAATAGTTAATGAGAATAATGACTGAAGAAAAAACTAAAGACAAAATATATATCGAAATCATTAATTATTTTGTGCGGCAAAAATAGGAAAGGGATTATTAACCACTTTTGAAAAGTTGTAATTAATTTTATCGGTTTATAGCGAAAAACAATAAAATAAATACTAACCACACATGAGATACGTGACGACAGCGAACATCACTAAACAAACTATAGTCAATATAATGGTGGAGAAACGCCAGGAGCACCGATGGGAACACGTTTTGCCCAGATTTAGTCGCGACGAGGCATAGGCCACGAGTGCTGACGGACTCGGCCTCGACGACAGCAACGGTGGCCGTAACGATGGCGGCGGACCACCACTTCCCGAGACACTCGACTGTAATAGCTATGTGTTTGTGAGGTTAGAGAGTTTTGGGCGAAAGAAACAAATTGTAAGTACGGGTTATAATCATTACATTTAATATATATCGTACACAACGTTAACATCCATTTTACGGTAACGACTGTACGAATTGCTTATATAACAAGTCTCTTATATATATTGTGTACTCCTATTATTACAGCGCCAGGAGTTTTAGCGCTGGTATGTAAGGGACTGGTGGCTAATGTACTGACTAAATGACCGCACGTTTAGCTGATCTTAGCGGAGGGTTTAACTGATTGAATGGATTTGTGTTTTTTTGTTGTATTTTGTTTCATTTTGCTTACAGTATGTGATAGCAAATGGACAAAAAGTTATTTTGATTTATGTGAGAGTAATATAAGGAACTTGTGTTTTATTATTACATAAATACCAGATATACTATATATAAGGACTCACTTGTGAGGGGTGGACATTATTGGGCAGCGGAACCATTGGTCCGGTTGTGGTGTTTTGTGTGTTGCAAAACGCCGGGAATGGGTTGGTATAGGTGTGCAGTAAACCACTGTTATTACCGGCCGTCACACCCGTCGATGCGGTTATTAGTGTCGACGAGTTATTGCTATTCGTTGAGTATATTCTGTGAAAAAGTAATTTTAATTACTTATCTCGATTTATCAAGAATTTTAATCAACATGATCAATTTAAGTATTATATGTGTTTTACACTTGAGTATTAAAATTGGAAAAAGTTTTAAACAAATTCTGAGAGATTTTATGATTAATTTTAAAATTTTCAATTTAGAAAATTGTTTTTTGTTGTTTCAAAACCACCTTTTATTTATCAATGTGTATTGTTTATATTAATTTTACCATGATGTATTTTTAATTAAATTTAAGTGACAAAATATATAGAGAAGTACAGCTATAATAAATGTACGTGAAGTGAGCCTTAATTGTAATGAAGGTAGAAAGTGGTTAAATCGAGAATTTCTCGTTCAAAAAACTTGAAAAATTTAATTGTTTGACAAAACTTTGTATTATATATGAAAAGAAGTGGCGAAACGATAATACAGTGGATATGATTAATGAGAATTTGTTTGAAAATTATATATTGTATGTCAGATACGCGTCAAAAGCCTAACAAAAGCTAAACAGATAATGAAAATAATAATGAAATTTATCTTTTCATTCTTTCGTTCACTGGATTTTTTGTTGTATTCTCTCTCTCTCTCTCTCTCTCTCTCTCCACATATACTCTCATCTCATCTCTTGATCTTTCTCACAATATATTATACAATACATGCAATTCATGCACTTTTTAAGTGACCATTTTTGAGATATAAGTA